AGCAGCAGAGAGCAGCAGAGAGCAGCAGAGGGCAGCAGAGAGCAGCAGAGAGCAGCAGAGAGCAGCAGAGAGCAGCAGAGAGCAGCAGAGGGCAGCAGAGGGCAGCAGAGGGCAGCAGAGGGCAGCAGAGAGCAGCAGGAGGAGGAGTTTGGACCAAAATCACTTTTGTTAAAAAGAAAAAGTTTTAATTTAGCCTCTGTGTCAAACCTTTCTGAATAATTTCACTGTAATGACAAATATTTTTATTGATGCTTAAATAAATTTCTTTAAATCCTTGAAAAACTTTGTGCTCTTTGAATTCATCACATCAGCACATCTCCATTCTTAGCTTGTAGCTGCTCTTTTGCTGGTTTTTATGATGCTCATTTTAGGTTAAAAATACAGTTTTTCTGTTTTGAACTTTAGCTAAATTTAGCTTTATTTTTTATTTTAGCTGAATTTGGCTTTTGTTTTTGATTTTTAGTAGCTGTTGCTGTTTTTCGGCTGTTTGTGACTGTTCAGCTTATTTAGCTTTGCTTCTTTTAGCTCGTGTCTGAAAAACTTCCAGCCTTATATTTCAGCAGGTTTTCAGCAAACAGCTCAGCTTTTATTACGTCTGAGAACCAGAAGCAAAAAGTTCTGAGGAGACAGGATCATGTCAGACCTGAACCAAGACCTGCAGTCATCTGGTCTGACCAGCTTACAGAGGACCGAGTCATTGTTACTGTTTGGACTGCTGTCCAGGTGATTGACGGATGGTTGGATCACTGGTTGGGTGACTGGTTGGATGACTGGATGAATGGTTGGTTGGATGAATGGTTGGTTGGATGAATGGTTGAATGTTTGGATGAATGGTTGGTTGAATGACTGGTTGGATGTTTGCATGAATGTTTGGTTGGATGACTGGTTGGATGTTTGATTGGATGTTTCATTGGATGAACGTTTGGATGGTTGGATGTCTTGTTGGATGAATGTTGGATGTCTTGTTGGATGAATGGTTGGATGCTTGGTTGGATGTCTTGTTGGATGGTTGGATGGATGTCTTGTTGGATGTTTGGTTGGTTGGATGTCTTGTTGGATAGTTGGTTGGATGTATTGTTGGATGAGTGGTTGGATGGTTGGTTGGTTGGATGGTTGGTTGGATGTCTTCTCGGATGAATGGATGGATGTCTTGTTGGATAGTTGGTTGATGACTTGTTGGATGGTGGGTTGGATGTCTTGTTGGATGGTTGGTTGGATGTCTTGTTGGATGAATGGTTGGATGTCTTGTTGGTTGGATGTCTTGTTAGATGTCTTCTTGGATGAATGGTTGGATGTCTTGTTGGATGGTTGGTTGGATGAATGGATGGATGTATTTTTGGATCAGTGGTTGGATGTCTTGTTGGATGTCTTCTTGGATGAATGGTTGGATGTCTTGTTGGATGGTTGGTTGGATGAATGGTTGGATGTATTTTTGGATCAATGGTTGGATGTCTTGTTGGTTGAATGGTTGGATGTCTTGTTGGATGGTTGGTTGGATGTCCTGTTGGATGGTTAGTTGGATGTCTTGTTGGATGGTTAGTTGGATGGTTGGTTGGTTGGATGTGTTGTTGGATGTGTTGTTGGATGGTTGTTTGGATGGTTGGTTATATATCTTGTTGGATGTCTGGTTGTATGTTTGGTTGGATGTCTGGTTGTATGTTTGGTTGGATGTGTGGTTGGATGGTGGGTTGGATGTCTGGTTGGATGTCTTGTTGGATGTTTGTTTGGGTGTCTGGTTGGATGTTTGGTTGGATGTCTGGTTGGATGAATGGTTGGTTGTATGGATGTCTGGTTGTATGTTTGGTTGGATGTCTGGTTGGATGTGTGGTTGGATGGTGGGTTGGATGTCTTGTTGGATGGATGAATGTCTGGTTGGATGTTTGGTTGGATGTCTGGTTGGATGTTTGGTTGGATGTGTGGTTGGATGGTGGGTTGGATGTCTTGTTGGATGGATGGATGTCTGGTTGGATGTTTGGTTGGGTGACTGGTTGAATGTTTGGATGAATGGTTGGTTGGATGTCTGGTTGTGTTTGGTTGGATGTCTGGTTGGATGAATGGTTGGTTGGATGGTTGGATGTGTGGTTGGATGTCTAGTTGGATGTTTGGTTGGATGTCTTGTTGGGTGGTTGGATGAATGTCTGGTTGGATGTCTGGTTGGATGTGTGGTTGGATGGTGGGTTGGATGTCTGTTTGGATAGATGGATGTCTGGATGGATGTTTGGTTGGATGTCTGGTTGGATGGATGGATGTCTGGTTGGATGTTTGGTTGGATGTCTGGTTGGATGAATGGTTGGTTGGATGTCTGGTTGTATGTTTGGTTGGATGTCTGGTTGGATGAATGGTTGGTTGGATGGTTGGATGTCTGGTTGGATGGGTGGATGTCTGGTTGGATGTTTGGTTGGATGTCTGGTTGGATGTTTGGTTGGATGTCTGGTTGGATGTCTGGTTGGATGTCTGGTTGGATGTGTGGTTGGATGGTGGGTTGGATGTCTGGTTGGATGGATGGATGTCTGGTTGGATGTTTGGTTGGATGTCTGGTTGGATGTGTGGTTGGATGTCTGGTTGGATGAATGGTTGGTTGGATGACTGGTTGAATGTTTGGATGAATGGTTGGTCAGATGTCTGGTTGTATGTTTGGTTGAATGTCTGGTTGGATGAATGGTTGGTTGGATGGTTGGATGTCTGGTTGGATGTTTAGTTGGATGTCTGGTTGGATGTCTGGTTGGATGGTTGGATGTCTGGTTGGTTGTCTGGTTGGATGTTTGGTTGGATGTCTGGTTGGATGTGTGGTTGGATATCTGGTTGGATGTCTGGTTGGATGTTTGGTTGGATGTCTGGTTGGATGTGTTGTTGGATGGATGGATGTCTGGTTGGATGTTTGGTTGGATGTCTGGTTGGATG